GGGCTGGGGGGAAGACAAGAAATATCAGTGTGATACCTTTTCTAAACATCAATTGTCATAACTCTACACAAATTTGGTTCGAGATTTTACAAAGGTAATAAAGTGTCTCTATTATTCTGCGTTTACACTTCTTTCATCTCTAAAGGAGAACCATTGCATTTTGCATTCAAATATCAGTTGTGTTTAAGGCAGTTTGGAAAGTTAGTCGGAGACGGAGGTTTTTCCTCTTCTCGAGCATGAAATTTGCTAGTGTTCTGCTCTTCGCTTCACTATACATCTGAACACACCGACTTGTGCAGTCAACAAGGTTTTCCATGTGCTGATTTTTTCTCGTTTGTTTTTCATTAAGTGTGTTCCTGGTAGGTCAGCTTTCCTGCGATGAGACATTGAGGAATCAGTGCCTCGAAATTATGCCGACTTTATGATTCACCTCTCAAGTGGAAGAATGCTTCTTATATCTAGAATCGAGCATCTTTATTTCTCAGTTTTTTCTTCTGTAGAATAGATGTGAGACGTGTTTTTTTAATAAATTCATTAAACAATTTCAGACTCTGTTAAAGAACACAATTTTAGACATTTTGTAATACAAAGGCAAGTGAGAAGCTAATGTGTTTTCTCTTCTGGAAACTACAACACAGCGTATTACTACTATTCACTGTCAAAACATACCTACAGTGGAATTATCACCATAAATCAACCTTTTATATGCTGACAACATATCGAAACCAAACATACATTATTCCTTACTGTAATTCAATCTATCCTTTCCATATACTTCTGGACAGCACCTGTTATCAGTGGAATTCTGAATTCAGGGATGAGCTAGATTTAGTGGGCAATAGAAAAATTCAAAGCATAAATAAGTAACATGTTTAAATAAATTGCGTGAAAGATTGGCAATCAGCTGACAACTGTCATAGTGGTCACATGATCAGAAGCTGGTCCCACCAGCTACCAATCTGTAGCACACAAACAATGCCCGCTCGGTGACACGTATGTGCTGTATGTGGACATTAGGCTTACTCTTATGCCATCATGTGTTGGGTGGTCCTAAAAGGGTTAATGGCTATGCTTACAATTTATGCAAACCCTGCGTCTAAAAGGGTAATAAAGCTTTACCATTCCGCTGTGTTACATAACGGTCACACTAAAGCAGGGGCGGACTGACCATTTAGAAACTCGGGCACTGTCCGAGGGCCCAGGGTCAGTAGGGGGCCCCATGAGATGCCCCTGGTTCCTTTTTCATAGGCTTTTTTGAGTTTAGGCAAGGACAGAGGGGCCCCATGATCCCCTGTTGCCCGGGGGCCCCATGAGTTGTCAGTCCGCCCCTGCACTAAAGTGATATACTTTTAATCAGAAGACTCTGTTGATTATGTTTTGTGGCCAGTGGTGTATTTAGGTTCCGTGCTGCCCTAGGCAACACAAAAATCCCCCCCCCCCCCCACGGAGAGACACTGACACCCACCAACACCCCCCTCCAGCACGAAGAGAGCCTGACATTGACCAACACCCCAGCCCCCCCCCCCCCCGTCCACTCCCGAGAGAGCCTTCCACTACCATCGCCCCTCATACACTGGCAACCCCCCCCCCATTCCCAGCAAGAGATAAGACACTCACCTTCACAGTTCAAGAAAATCCCCAGGAACAAGAGTCAGGCTCTGCATACACCTTTAAGCAGCCTGCAGCCTCTCTCAGATCCCACCTGCTCCCCATGCTGCATGTGTCCCTTCTTCCTTTCCTTCTTTTGGGGGATGGCGCTGCCCCCCTTAAAAATGCTGCTGCCCCCCCCTGAAAAATGTCGCCCTAGGCAACTGCCTTGTTTGACTTGTGGTAAATACACCCCTCTTTGTGGTAACTATGTGGGGATCAGCAAATTATTTAAATGCTGGGTTGGAAAAAATTACAGGAAAATTCATTTTTTTCTATTTTTTTACTGTTGAAACCAAAGAAATAAAAATGTATATATCTACATTTTCTACCAAACTAAAGCCCTGTCTGGCCAAAAAAAAAAAAAACTTAATATGTTAGGGTAGGCTACAATCACTAAAAGTTATAATATGCAGAACCAAGACATAGCCAAAATGAAAAGAACACTCTAGGACTAGGGAGAAAAAGGCATGGGGACTCAAGTTATTAAGTATTGTAAGGCTGTGAATACAAAAGCTCTATAGGTCTCTAAAGAAGCAACACAACAGTAGCAGCTTGTTGCATAAAAATTACAGGCTGAGCTATAGAGCTCTGTAAATCGCAGGCTCTTTTTAATAGACTTTTAAGCAGTCTCTGGAGGAGATGATAAATAACTTATTCATTACATAATAATAATAAAGAATATTGCAATTTAAGTGTCACAAAAAAATATATATATATTAAAACAAAAAGTCCAGTGACATATACAAAAACAAAAACTCCAGTGACATATAGAAAAAGAAGTCCAGCGCCCCACACAAAAAACTTATTTTCATTAAGAATCTTCAGTGCCAATAGTGATCCTTCCACCATCCACCAGTGCAAAACCAACATGAACCGCACTCACCAGATGTTTGGTGAGTAAAACACCTTTCAGGATTAATTGGGGCTCCTGGACCCCCTTTGTAACCTCCAACTATTGCCACCCTCAAAGATATGGATATTCCTCCAATTGCTCCCCTCGCCAACTCCACCGGATTCCAGGAAGAAAAAAAACTAATAGTGTGATACTGTTATGACTCTCAATTATAATCAACTTTAAGCCAGACCACTCACATTTTAAAAGGTAATAACCAGCATTTATTGAAGATAAAAACGAATTCCACAATTCCTGTAGCAAGACCTCACAGCCTTGTACACAGCAGGATGACAGACCTCAAGGAAAACCTCCTCCACTAAGCAAAATGGCCAGCGGTGCGTTCCACTCACCGGAAATGATGCAGGACGTTGGGACGGCCAGCCGGAAGTACGTCAACGCATTTCGCCCCACCCACAGGGCGTTCTCAATATATATATATATGAAACTTTCTACTTCTGATCATTATAAATCAAGTAAAAATGTACAACACCAAATTACAAACTTGTTATCAATACAAGGCCTACACAGTAAAAGTATAAGAAACATGCAGGCACTTAAAGGCTGCATGGACTGTGGGGTAGCTTGTAGGACATCTCAAGAGCCTCAAACCAAATCCGCTCTATTGTGCAAATGCCAGATAGGAAGGTGGTGCTTTGTCCTTACCCTCTCCTTGCATCACACTGTTAGTCAGTATATCGAAATATAATAGATTCCCTGACAAAACTTGACAGCACGTCTAAGTGTTACTAGTAGAATATATATCATTTAATGTCTGCTGTCATATGGGGGAAGCCAACTTGCATCCTCATTAAAGACAGCTGTAGTATAAGCTCAAACATGAATACCGTAAATGGTTCCATGAAGTATAACTAAACACTAAAAATGTTTTTTTTTTTTCTTTTTTAAATTTTTTAATAAGATAGGTAATGGTTAAAAACTTTTTTTTGCCGTTTGTGTCCTATTGGGAGATTGTCCATAATGATATGTCTTGTACAAAAAACAAAGGAAATGCCCTCTTAGTAGGACAGGTGGCCCCATTGGAAGAGTTCCTTTTTATTCCTGTTCTAGTGACAACTCAAATGTGTTTGATTTTTTTTTGTCTTTGGAGTGTGGGAGGAAACTGGAGTACCCAAGGAAACCCATGCAGGCACAGGGAACTACTCAAAATTTTAGATTTTCCATCACTTGAAGTTCCAATGACAGTGGCCACCAAGACAAATAGAGATGGTAAGTTTCTTTAATAGAGCATAGGCAACCTGACAGAGGTTTTAGCTCATCCAAAGCTACACCATTTTGACTGTAGATACACTTTTGTCGATAATTAGAATAAAGCTTTCAAATGCTGAATTTGGGTTTCAGGGAACAGTTTATTATAGCACTTTGTATTGTTTATATTGAAAACATTATATTGGTCAGCTTAAAGCAAAGTTCCAGCTGAAAAAAAAAAAAAAGTCATCAGATACGAATACTGTAGCTGCTAACTTTTCAAATACAGACACCTGACCCTCGGTCCAATGATGTCTTCACCGCGGCTGGTTTCACCGGCCGTCTTCTCTCCCCAGCGCCGGCATCTTCAATGTGGGCACCCGGATGTGACAGTTTGCGGCTTCACAACCGGGTGCCCACTACACATGCATGACAAGTGCTGCGCTTTGTGAATGGCCCCATAGTCTTCTTGGACCTGTCACGTGCCCCACAAGACTACGGGGAGGGAGGACAACTTCTGCTTCCGATTGCCTAGGCGATTGCAGTGGAAGTGGGAACGGGTATCTGTCAAATTTGGGTACCCGCTCCACAAAGGTGACAATCCTTAATAAAAAAACAAAAAAAAGGAGAATAACACCAGCTGATTGGGTGGCATGACTGCAGTTTGAAGGAATCAGGAAGTGCTCCTGAGACAGAGGAGTAAGAGGACAGCAGCTATACATTCTCTAGAGAAGGTAGAAGATTCATGAATGCCACTGGAGATATCTGAAGACAAGAAGATGTTGTCTACACATGGAAGCGAAAAAGCGTGAACAGCAAAAAGGATTTTCTAAACTGCAGATTGCTGGGGAGAGGAAAATGTGAAGGTGGACAAGGTTTAACCTCCCTAGCGGTCTGATTATGTCCATATTTCTGTGCTCAAAGCGGTACATTTTTTTGCATGGAAATATGTAGTTTTTTTTTATTGTAGGCCTGTAATTTTTAGGAATAACTCACTGAAATCTGTCCGAACAAGAGTCTAGTAAACATCCCGGGGATGATAAAACTTGAAACACGAAATCATAAATTATAATTTAATAAATAATCATAAAAAATAATAATATAATAATAATACATTTAATTCAATAATATAATCAAACCAAAAACACTGAAATTTGAAATATAGCGCCAAGTTCGCACATCACTGAGCAAAGTCGCAAAATCGTTTTCAGTGTCTGATGAGGAATTTCCCCCACGAATCATTATCACCCAATTCTGCAAGTGGTTCTGATTTACTATCGCTGTTCTCTAGCCGGTCTAAAACCGATTTTGACCTAAAGGGGCGCTTTTTGGACGCCATGGACGTTTCTCAGTTTCCAGGCAGAAAGAACAGTCAAAATGCAGGCAGGGCGCTGGACAAAGCACTCGGGACAAAATGTATGTGAAATGGTTTGATACAGGAATGTTATACTATGTGATTTTAGTAAATGTCACTTTTTGTCATTTTCAAATTTCCCGCCGTTCCATCCCCCGTACGTCCCGACGCTCGCAGGCGACGGAACCCAGATGACAGATGCCGGAGCAGCGCCGCATGGTATTCCCGAGTGTAGCTCGGGGTTACCACTTTTGGTACTGAAACTTTACCCCGAGCTACACTCGGGAATACCGCCAGAGAGGCTACAGCCTGTTGTGGGAAGGAGTGCCGACAGGGGACCCTGCATCTTACTTTGTCCCATTTAGAGGACACAAGCGTGGTGTGACCAAAGCATTGTATAATAGGAGGTCAAAAAGCTCCAGGTGAGAGCACAACTTGGGAGTTGGTGGAGGAACACTGCTATATGTTGTATGAAGGTACAATATTGAAAGATTATATTACGTCAAGATATATGGGACTTTATATATTCACTATTGTACACTAGTTCTGTTATGTGTATATATTTACAATTACTCTTTCTGGTAATTGGCAGGCACTGCACCGATTTGTTTGTTTAGTTATAGACACATTGATGAGTATGTGCAGGGTGTAAGTGACTTTTTTTGGAGGGTTTATTTGTTTTTATATAATTTTTTGGAGTGTTTTGGTTGCTCATTAGACTTTTTATTTAATTTTAGCCAGTCCTTTACCTCCTTAGCGGTTTTCCCAAGTGTAGCTCGGGGTAAAATTTCAGTGCCAAAGCGGTAACCCCGAGCTACACTCAGGCTTACCATGCGGCGTTGCTCTGGGGGCCCCTGCAGCACTTACCTTGTCCTTCGCGCCCACGATGTGTCCCCTGCAGCGTCCCCGGCCATCTCCTCCGGCCGATGCCGTCACCCGGCTTCCGGTCCCTGTGATGTTGGGACGTACGGGCGCCGGAACAAATTACCCGGCGGGAAATTTGAAATTTTTTAAAAATGTCATTTTGGCTCTCATTGCTGTTTCAAAGCATTTCACATACATTTTGTCCCTACTGCTTTGTCCGGCGCCCTGCCTGCATTTTGACTGTTCTTTCTGCCTGGAAACTTAGAAAAGTCCATGGCATCCAAAAAGCGTCCCTTTACGTCAAAAGCGGTTTTAGAACAGTGATAGTAAATCAGAACCACTTGCAGAATTGAGTGATAATGATTTGTGGGGGAAATCAGACACTGAAAACGATTTTGCGACTTTGCTCAGCGATGTGAGAATTTGCCTCTGTATTTCAAATTTCAGTGTTTTTGGTTTGATTATATTATTGAATTAAATTTATTATTATTATATTATAATTTTTATGATTATTTATTAAATTATAATTTATGATTTCGTGTTTCAAGATTTATCATATCCGGAATGTTTACTAGACTCTTGTTCGGACAGATTTCAGTGAGTTATTCCTAAAAATTACAGCCTACAATAAAAAACTACATATTTCCATGCAAAAAAATGGTACCGCTTTCAGCACAAAAAATCGGAAAGAATCATACCGCCGAGGAGGTTAATGGAGAGGGGGACAAATGCTTAAAGCGGAACTTCCCCTTTTGGGTGGAGCTCCACTTTAACATTTTCTCCAATACCTAGTAGCACATTATTAGACATGTTAGATACAGTATTATTATTCTCATTAGATAAAAAGTTTGTACAATTTTTACATTTTGCTGGTAGAGTTAGCTTCTGACTTAACCCACCAGTACTTCTGCGCCTGCCATAACATGACTGGTGCCTACTGAAAGACCAGTAGGTGCATGCAATGGGGTTGATTTACTAAAGAGAAATAAGCTGTTCACTTCGCAAGGGTGTTTGCCACAGAACTTAGTGAATGTGGGTAAGTTTCACTTTGCAAAGAATATCCAATCGTGCAAGAAAAATAAAAAACAGCATTTTTCCTTGCATATGATTGGATGGTGGAAGTGAGCAGAGCTTCATCTCATTCACTTAGCTCAGGGGAAAATTCCCTTGGAAGCGAACAGCTTATTTGTCTTTAGTAAATTATCCCCAATATCTGCTAGTTTAAATGTTTAAAAAAAACAAGGCTTTTCAAGGTGGACACAAAAGGTTGATTTTATTGTCCCATCTCTCAACCCCCCACCTCACCCCCTCGGTCTCCGCCTGAATCACACACCTACTGAGCGACATATCAGATTGGATGTCGCTCCACTTCCTTAAATTGAACCTCTCCAAAACCGAGTTTCTTGTCTTCCCCCAGCCCGGACACCACCCCCCATTGACTTCTCCATCACATCCAACAACGCCACCATCAAACCCACCCCGCAGGCCAGAGTACTTGGTGTCATTCTGGACTCCAACCTATCCTTCCAGCCCCAAGTCCAATCACTAACAAACTCATGCAGACTCCACCTACGCAACATTGCCAAAATCCGCACGTTGCTAACCCCAGAAACCACTAAACAGCTCATCCACTCCCTCATCATATCACGACTCGATTACTGCAAGTCCCTCCTCACTGGCCTGCCTTGCCGCTGGCTATCCCCGCTTCAGTCCATCCTGAATACGGCTGCAAGACTCATTCACCTTTCCAACCGCTCCATCTCCGCCACCCCCCTCTGCCAATCCCTCCACTGGCTTCCGATTGAACAACGGATCAAATTCAAAATCCTAACACTGATTTACAAAGCCGTCCACCATACTGCCCCAAAACGACATCACTGACCTAATATCCAAGTACCACCCAACACGCACACTCCGCTCCTCACAAGACCTCCTTCTCTGTAGTTCCCTGGTCTCCTCCTCTCATGCCCGCCTCCAGGACTTCTCCAGGGTGTCACCCATCCTCTGGAACTCCCTGCCCCAACCCATCAGATTATCACCTACTCTCCTCTCCTTTAAACCCATTTCTTCAGGGAAGCCTACCCCACCCCCTGCTAAACCTCCTCCACTCTTCCTACCACCCCATTCCCCACAGCTATCTCCTCCGGTGCCACCATCCCCTCCCTCCTAGATTGTAAGCTTGAAGGAGCAGGGCCCTCAATCCCCTCATGTTTTGCATTGTATTGGTATTGTTCTATCACATGTTCTGTCCCCCTTTGTAATGTACAGCGCTGAGCGAACTATTAGCGCTTTATAAATACTGTATAATAATAATAATAATCACTGGTCTCATGCATACTGGATGTTATAAACACAGTATCATTAGCTGTGGAATGCCACGTTAAAAACGTGCGTTTTCTCATGGTTTTTAGCATCCCGCATTAGTGTCTTTCAGCGTTTTTCATAGTTTGCTGTTTTTAGCGTTTTTTAGCAAGACTATACTCCCACAAAAACTTGAGGCTCAAAAACGGTCATAAACGCCGGATAACCACGGTTTTCAGTATTTTGCAGTGCTTTTCAGCATTAGATCGTTTTTACAGCTGAAAAACTCCTCTTCAAACGCAGTAGTTCTGTGTTTTTTTTCCAGCCTGAAAACGCTCCTGACAAAATATGCTGATAAAAGCCTATGTGTGCATGGACACATAGGATTACATGCTGGGGAGTTTACTGGATGCAGAAAAAAATGCCTGAAGCCCAAAACAGGAGCTGTAAAAACGCCCAGTGTGCATGAGGCCTTATAGCAGCAGGTTTTAACCCTTTGAGGACCATAAGATTACGGAACGCCAAAATAATAAATTTTTTTGTTTTTAAAGTTCGTACACTTCAGTTGCTGTAACTAAGCCATTTCATGAAATAATTGGCAAAAAGCTAGATCCATTTGTTGTTTGTTGATAAGAACTAATATTTTGACTCAAACCAAAAAAAAAAAAAAAAGAGTTTTAAGTTCTTAATCAGATGATACAGGCAATTAAAAACATGGGACAAATACGTCCCTTGGTCCTCAAAGGGTTTAAGCTGCTATACAAACTAGAAATATTATTTTGGAAAGCCCATATTGGATTATAGACATTTATTCATTCAAATGTAAAAAACAAAAAAATACTTAATTTGTATGATTTTTATGTGATCATTTGAAGTTGAGGTACGTGACTTTTCAGGAAGGATGCACTAGGGCCTTCTGATCAAATCTACTGTTAGGGGAAGTCATCATTATCTCCTGGGTCCATCACTTCTGTGCTGATAAGCTTTTTAACTGGAGGTTTATCTAGAGTAATCAATCTGCCACTGACTCAGAAGTAGTACACTCTAGAAATTCATAATTTGGGAAAAACAAAAATACAGTTCTGATAAGTTTGATGCGTTGAAGACTTAGGATTGAGTCACAGCAAATATTATTATATTATTATTATACAGTATTTATAAAGCGCCAATAGTTCGCTCAGCGCTGTACATTACAAAGGGGGACAGAACATGTGACAGAACAATACCAATACAATGCAAAACATGAGGGGATCGAGGGCCCTGCTCTTTCGAACTTACAATCTAGGAGGGAAGGGATGGTGGCACAGGAGGAGATAGCTGTGGGGGATGGGGTGGTAGGAGGAGTGGAGGATGTCGGCAAGTTAGCAGGGGGTGGGGTAGGCTACCCAGAAGAGGTGGGTTTTCAGGGTGCGCCTAAAGGAGGGGAGAGTAGGTGATAATCTGATGGGTTGGGGCAGGGAGTTCCAGAGGATGGGTGACACCCTGGAGAAGTCCTGGAGGCGGGCATGGGAGGAGGAGACCAGGGAACTAGAGAGAAGGAGGCCTTGTGAGGAGCGGAGTGTGCGTGTTGGTTGGTACTTGGATATTAGGTAGGTGATGTAGTTCGGGGCAGTATGGTGGACAGCTTTGTACGTCAGTGTTACGATTTTGAATTTGATCCGTTGTGCAATCAGAAGCCAGTGGAGGGATTGGCAGAGGGGGGTGGCGGAAACGGAGTGGTTGGAAAGGTGAATGAGTCTGGCAGCCGTATTCAGGATCGACTGAAGCGGGGATAACCAGCGGCAATATAATAATATAATTTTTTACTAATATACGGAATGTAATTGGGAAAAGTTGTTGGGCTTGTCTTTAGTTTCTTGGTAAGTGGCTGCATTCACGGATCATACACAAGCCTCTTTTCTCCGGTTCTATTGCAACACAGTTTTGCTAAAAAAAACAGAGAAAGATACTATAGACCCAAAAGCTAAAAAGATTCTGTGGAAAAGCCACAGGCAGGGCCGTCTTTAACGCGGGATAAACGGGGCAGCTGTCCTGGGCCCAGTCATTATTGTGGGGCCCAAAGCCTGCACTTTTCAA